GTGTGTGTGTGTGTGTGTGTGTGTGTGTGTGTGTGTGTGTGTTGGGGGGGGCGGTATTCATTCCATAATTCTGAAAGAAGTGGCACATTAAATTGCACATCCATTAGCAAGGAGTATTACCAAATCTAACAAGTCAGCATGGCATAATATGACTTGCAGAACAGCAAATATTTAAGAAGGGCCTGGGGCAACTAGAGATGTAAGAGTCTGAATTAGGGGTAGATCTATGCAGTGATTCTCAGCCAGGGTACTGGTGCACCCTAGGGTGCCACCAGATCCTTTGAAGGGTATCTTGAGGTGTGAGCAGATAAGCAAGGTCTGAAGAGATAAGCAGATAACCTGAACAGGTAAGAGTGGGATGATCCCCAACTCCCTGCCCAGCCCCTCTGCAAGGAGGTAAGCACTGAAATATATAAAATAGTTTTTGAAATTGGGTGCCACTCAATTCACAAAACTTATGAAGGGCTGTCTCGAGTCCCGGAGGGGTGCATTGAATCCAAGAAGTCTGAGAACTATTGGGCTAGTAAGTGCAAGCCTTTCCCCCTCCCTCATTAAAGTTAGCTCTAAATTGGAACTTGATCAGTTTATGAAAAGGATTATATGCTGTGTCTGCCTGTAACAATAGCAGGGGCCTGGATTCATTGATCCAAGAGATCCTTTCCAGTCCTAGTTGCCTATGATAAGGCATGGAGATGGGCTTCTGCTGCATGAACTACACATGCCCCTGGAGGGTGGGAGGGTATGGCGACTGCCCACTGGCAGCAGTGGGAGGAGTGTGGCAGTAGGGAGTGGGGAGCTCCCCTAGGTAGCCATGGTGTTGTCAGTGGCAGGGTGGGGGTGTGACGGGCACTGAGCGGGGGTCAGCGACCACCCGCAAACACCACCAGCAGAGTTGGCAGTGGTCAGCGGCTACTGCCCACAGTTTCTCTCAGGGGGTGGACTGCCAATCTCAGGGGGTGCACGTGCACCCCTGTGCACCCCCGACGCATCGCCAATGCTCTGCTGCTTGCTACACATGGGAGCAGCAGCCTAACCAAGAAAACCCCAAAACCATCATCCTTTCACAGATGTCTTGCACATATGTCCTCTAAGACTCCCAGTGTGAGCCTATGCCAAGAGACCTAATGCAAATCACCGGATGTATGAACAAGGGAATATTGTGTAAGTGTAGAGAGGTTATCTTTGCATTTGGCACCAACATACCATAATCAGCTCTTGTGACCATGCTGCAAGAAGATGTTGAAACACTGGAGGAGGTTTTAAAAAAATAGGTTTAACAATACCCGAGGTTTTACAATACCAGAAGGCTGTGATGTGGCTGATAGGGAGAGAGATGAGGTCTAGGAAGGTCCAACTTATCCTATCTGCCCTTGGGCAGTGTGGTTAAGGCACACCAGCCTCTTTACCAAAATGATGCAAGGGCATGATGTAGCTGACACCACCTCCAGCCTTTGGTTGCCCAGGCTCAATGACCTAGTACCTATTGACAGGTGGATCAAGGCTTGAACTCATGAGCTGTAGCTATCCATCTTAATCCCTCTTTTATCATACCCTTTACAAGGCATGGGACTCAGCAGCAAGAAAGGTAAAAGGTGACACTCATGGTTTATAAGTATTTACATGAGAAACAGGAAGCAGAACTCATGGTAGAGGTGACATCTTTTATTAGACCAACTAGATTTTTGCCAAAAAAACCCCTCTAATTGCCAGCTTTCGGGCACCAGCACCCTTCTTCAGGCACAGGAGAAAAGATTGTATAAGTTCTCGTAGGAAGAAATGAAAGTTCATATTTCATAGGAGAGTTGAAGATGCGGTATAATCTGTTTGAAACAGTTCATTTTATGCAGATTAGGCCCAGAGAAAAGTTGGAACAATCTAGTTTACCTTGCAGTTGTTTGGTGGCAAGCAGGATGGAGTCATACTTCCTTCTGGTTATGACGTTTTGTATTTCACAGAGGAGCAGAAGGATGTAATGCTCTTCTGGGCAGGAATTTCCTATGTGGTGAGGTATCTCTGGGCTCCAGTGATGATGCAAATTACCCTGAACAAAGGCAGGTGTAGGGTCTCAGGTTTCAGGTGGTAAAACTTGCTTCCCTCCTTGTAAAATTATTAAGATTTCATGTAAAAAAATCTACTAAAATATTCTATCTTCCATGTGTCAGGTATCCAGGTTGTAGCCATATTGGTCTAGCGGCAAAAGGAATCAGAGCTCGTGCTAGAGGTGACGCCTTTGATTAGACCAGCTAGATTTTTGCCAAAAAAATGTTAATGTTAGCTTTCATGCACGTGAGAAACAGAACTTTTATAGTAGGTAACCTTTCAGTCTAGAAGTTTAAGACAATTAAGGGAAAAATCACCACACAGCTGTTTCTTTGGGGCAACTGTAACAATCCTCTACCAAACTAGCACACAAAGTCAAGCACAGAACTACTGCTTCCTGGAAAGAAGCGGTGCCATATAATGGATCAGATGATTAGTTCACTGTGTTGGTGGGATGGCTTCTGAAATCTAAATGTACTTTTCATCTTAATACAGTAGGTGTGATCTTTTAAAGTAGCTGAGACAAGGTAAGCTACATCAAATGCTTTAACTGTTGACAAAGTTTAAGGGCCTGGATGAATTATAGGGCTCTGATAGACCAGTGTTGACTGGACAAGCTACAGCAAGTAGCTCAGGGAGGTGGGCTTCTTGCTGAAGTCTGCTTATCAGCTTCCTGGCCTTAGTCCCACCCTAGCTATTGCTGCATCCACCAGTTCATAGAAACACAAGTCCCTTTCATCAAATGCTCCGATGCATCACCATTGGGTCAGACTTTCACATGCTCAGAACCATTGGAGGTCGCATTTCCAAAGGTGCTGAGCTCCCTTGGGGAGACAACAGGAATTGTTTAGCACTTCTCTGTCTTTGATTCATCTTTTCCACAAGGTGGCACTAGGAAACCACTGCTGAGAAGCACAGGCTGGGAGGGATCCTGTGCATTGGCTCCTGAGCTGTGCCAGATTCCCACTAAGGTGTTCATCCATCTAACTGTCACTGCCCTATCTGCCTGCACTGCAATGTGCAGTCCAACCACAGGGAGAAATTAAAAGACTCGAGCCATAACCTCTGCCATTTGCTTAGTCGTCTGTCTTTGAGAAATTGGACACGAGACACAATCAGAGCGTCAGGTCCAAGTATCCTGAGAAGACAGTTCAGACTTGACCTCCCTGCAATTCTTATTTCAAGTCAGCACCAAAATCAGAAGGATCCATTTTTTTCCCCAGTTTATTTTGGAGAAGGCAGCATCTTGTGAACTTTCTGTGCTGTTGAACCTGAACTGCAGCCCTGACTCAGCCTTAGGATCAATCTGACCCTACCCCTAATTCATATCCAAACACTTCTTTTTAGTCCATCTCTAGAGAAAACCTTGCTGAGCAAACTCAATCCTCCATGTTCCCAAACTATCAGAAAGGAAAACACATCTTGGACACAGCGATTCTTATGCTTTAGTGGTGTGCACATCCTCTTGTATATGCAGGCATCAGTCATTAATCATTGATGCTGTAGAAGATATAACATGGTCCCAATAGCCAAACAGCTTCATGAGAGATTACAGGAATTAAATCAGGTCCCTCAGCAAGTAATAACCTCTAGCTTATGCCTGAGGTACAAACCTGCAATGAGTGCTTTCGTGACAGCAGTAATCCTTACATTAAATAAGGACACATGCCCAGGTCCTGTGAGCTCTATGCAAGCAGAGTTTATTAACAAGCAGTGTCATAACATATACATATATATCTACATCTACACAATAAGCAGGTGTTTCTTCTTTTACCTGTACTTTTAAAATGTAAAGTGTGTATTAGAGAGAAAAACTTCATAGTACAAAAATAAAGTGCTTTTACCTGTAAAGTCCAGTAGGCATTATCTTACAAAGGGAAGAATAACATTACTTTGTAAGAAAGAAGCAAGCCCTGATTTACTATTGATCTCTGCTGCTATTCTTCCTATCTGATGATCCCAGATCATAAATCAGTAAGCAAACTTTTTGTTCATCCCGTGTTAAATTGAGCTCAGCAGTATCACACACTTTTTCACAATGTATTTGTCACAGTGTACAATGCAGCACCTTTGATTCAGGCACTAGGTGGAGGGAACAGAGATGCACAATAAATAACAGTTGTCAGCCAAGAAACCATTTCTAGTTGAATCTCCAATGGGCAATACTTTGTGCAGGACATGTTTAACTTGGGTTGATTTTTTGGTCAGGGCACAAGATATTTTTCCATAAAATGCCAGAGGCTTTTTTATGACAAGAATTGTGAATATTATGAATATTTGTAGCATAGTTTACATATTATTCCAAAGACATTAACTCCAGCTGCACAGTGCCCCTTTCCATTCAATACTGAGAGCCTCCTACTTAATGTTGTTAGCTGAAACACATTCAGTTGAGCTTTGCAATCCCTCATCTAAGTGTTCATCAGGCCCTAGTTTGCCTAGCTTTTGAGAGCTAATGCGGTCTCATGCTGAAGCAATGTGGTTGAACAATATAAAATATAATGGAACTACACTATGCACAAACAAGTTGGTTGGAGAAATGTTAAGGGACATCACCCTGACAGAAACGCATCCTCCCTGAGGCATCAGGCAATTAGCAGCCGTCCTTTTTTGTTGTTCTCTGGCAGAAGTTACGATCATTGAGGCACTGAATGTCTGGGTTTGGTCTGGCCTTTGGGTTACATCTCAATGGTCTAAAGGGGGATGGTAGGACTTGGACAGCCTCTAACTCCTCCATACTCTTCCCTAGGCATAAATGTTGAAGGTCTTGGTATGATGGTCACGGGACTCTATGAGGCACCTGACTAGACCTCTTACGTGTACACCATGATCCAGAGAATCGACAGTTGCTTATACTATTCACAGGAACTCACACGTTAGCATGCATAAATCAATCTACTAGCTCACTCTAAGTGAATACCTTCTAGTTGCATGAAACTATAATTGTGCTTCAAGTCAATAGTTCACAGAGGATTTATGGAACAGGTTAGAAGAAATGGGACTATTAGGGACTATTTCAGGTGGAAGAAGTGGATGGATGTTTTAGAAAGACAGATGCACTGAAAGGCTCGATAGCTATGACAGGCGATATATCTGAAAGAAAAGGAGTCAATTCTTAATCTATAAGCAGTGGACTAGGTCTACATCATAAATATAAAAAGAAGTTGTTGCATGCATGAATAATTCACTTGATGCCCCTTTTTGTTTGTCCTCAGTAATGATCACACATACTTCAATAACATAACCTTCTCCATCCAGCCTCGGTTTTCTCTTCGGTTCATCCCACAGCGCAGCACAGGATCAAATTCGCCTCGTATTCATGTGGGCCAAATGGAATTGCCCCAGTTAAGAACGGTGTTGAACTTGACCTCAAACCTAGAACTGGATGAAACTTGTGAACCTCCTTCCGTCAGATGTGAAGCGTTCCTTCTATTGCAAACGCTTCAGCTTTTGGCAATGACTATTTTGCAGGCCTGTGCTTAAATCATTCGAATCTTCAGTGGTTGCGAAAAAAAATTAAAACAAAGCATGCTAGTTCAAAATTAAAGCAATAATTTCAATAGCTGCTTTCATCCTGTGGGCACTTGGCATGCTCTCCTGGTTGAGACTGATTTTTTAAGGCTCCTGACTTTGGGACTGCTCTCCTTGTCAATGGAAGACCCAAGCACAAAG